TCACACGCATGGAATACTATGCAGCCATAAAAAAGTGGGTTGTGTCCTTGTAGGGACATGGATGCAGCTAGCGAACCATCATTCCTTAGAAACATCAGCAAGAACAGGAAAACCAACACCGCATGTCTCATCTCATAGGTTGGGAACTGAACATGAGAGTCACTTGGACTCAGGAAGGGGACCATCACACACCGGGCCTATCATGGGGAGGGGAGGGGAGGACTGCATTGGTTGATTATCTGATTGTAAATGACGAGTTGATGGGGTGCAGCACAGCAACATTGGCAACAGTATACATATGTAACAAACCTGCACGTGAATGAATGTACCTACAACTTAGAGAGTGTATAATAATAATAAATAATTTTAAAAAAAAAAAAAAAAGGAATACCCCACAAACGTTAACATGGGAAAACCAGAGGAGTCTACTGTGCTAGCCAGCAGGCTGTTGGCACTGTTGTAAACCAACAAGTTAAGTGCAAGATTGTTGCCAAGAGAATTAATGTGTTGAGCATATTAAGCACTCTAGGAGCCAAGATAGCTCCCCAAAACTTGAGAAGAAAAGAAAGGAAAAGAAAAAGAAGGAAGCCAAAGAGAAAGGAGCCTGAGTTCAATGGAAGCACAGCTGGCTCCACCCAGAGAAGTGCACTGTGAGAACCAATGGAACAGAGCCTGAGCTTCTAGAACCTGTTCCCTATGAATGCATGGCATAACAGGTGTTTAAAAAATAAAAGAGCTCTGGATTGTAAAAATATTTCTTTTCATTAAGCAGAAATGTGGTGTTCCCTCCCCCAAAGAAATATTTTAACTTAAAAAAAAAAAAAGGTTACTATGTGTCAGACTGAGTCACGTACCTTCCATCCATTATCTCGCTTAGTCCGCATAACAACTCTTAAAAGTTAGCTCCTATTTTTAACCTAACTTTATAGATAGGAAAAGGAAGATGAAGTAACTTGCCCAAGATTACATAGACAGGAAGTGGCCCAGCCAGGATTTCAAAGCATGAGTACTTAACCACTATGCTATAAAATGAAAATCCTCAGAAACTATAAATCCATCAGATATGAAAAACATAATACCAACATTGTGATTAAAAAGATTATAAAATAAGTGTTCTGTAAATATTCTTTAAAACTTGTACCATCACATTTTGTGAATAGAAAAATTATTCATGACACATCACTTAGTATATCAGGTAAGTTATACATTTGAACCCACGTTTTTTATGAATTCTCAATGAAGTTTCTTCTCATAAATGGAATAGCACCTTCAACTGGGCATGTTTAGGTGCTAATATCACATACTATTTTAAAAAACAGATGCCTTTTCAAATTGCTTCCGGATATACCCAGATATTTAAAACATCTATTTACAGACACAACAGTGTAAAGATAACCAGATTATTAAATCACATGTTAAACAAAGTTTTTCAAAAGTTAAAACTTTTGAAGGCATTACTGAAAAAAAATGCTTTTTCTCACAAAAAGGCCAATTTATATGAACATATGTCTGTATAATATGCCAATGAGACAAAGAGTGGTGCAAAGAGAATCACTATAGAGCAAGGGCCATACAGTGGGGTTGGAGACCAGCTCACTCATCTCTCTTTGTCCCTTAAATCACATACCAGGATATTCACATGTGATATATACCAAATTCTACTTTAACACATATGATTACAGAATTGTAGCAGTGGCATATCAATAATCATCTAATCTAGAGATTCTAAGGGCTTTCTGGGATCAACGGATGGACTCCAAGGAGCATATGACAGCCTAGCATTGTAAGCACTGCATTGGTGTATGTGTGGAGAGCGACACAGATAAGTTCATCCTCCAAGAAGTCCACAGCCCATAAATCCTTTCATCTGCTGCTGCACTACAATGGGATACTCTGTAATCAAACGATACTGTTGAAGACAGCCCTAAAAAGGGGCATAAAACATACTATACCAGTATTCAAACTTATCCATTTTAAAGATACATTCTTAAATTCCACTGCATTAAAAAATCATTACTTACTGCCAATACGAGCTCTCTGATGTTTTTCACATAGAGTGTCACATAGTCCTTGATGTAGATTGGCCGGTCAGTGATACTGATACGGTACCAATTCATCATCAGCGCCTCCTCATTTTCATTATTGCCACTCCATATGATGATAGAAGGATGAGATTTCAGTCTCTTGATCTGAAAATTAAGAAAATATAAAATGATTTTCAAAGAGTTAACATAAGAAACTCAGAGCTATAATTATTCATAAAATTAGAGCCCTTGCATTTTTGCACATAAATTCTTATGTGCCAAAAACCTAATTTGAAAATGGCTAGTCATGTTAGCTATAGAAATACATTTTAAGAAATCGCTGAGATTCTTTTTAACTAGATTTTATAAACACTGATACATAGGGTTTCTCTTCTCTGCTATACAAAAACTGAAGATAATATAACCCCTTTTTTAGAAAGAGAAAGAAAAAGGGAACGAATAAACTCATCATTACGTGGATTGCCACAAAGAAAACTTCCAGGAAATACAAAAGGCAGGAGACATTATATTTTGGGGATTGGTTCTTAACAGCAAATTGGAGTTCTGTGTGAACAAACAAATGAGGCAAAGCAATCACTACCACTGAAGGAGGGACAGAGGTTCCTGTGCAGGCTCCACCGAGATCAGAAAACCAGAAGGAGAACTAGAGAAGGTTTTACAAAGCAAGTGAGTACTAGCGGTATGCTGGCAGTTAAAGACAAATATGGAATGCTCTAAAGGAAAACAGATGAGGGCCATCAGGGTGATGTCTCCTGAAATAACTATCAATGTCATGTCCTGAGAAATCAACTAACATTAAGTTACTGAACATGTTTAAATATAAAAGGGAAAATTGGAGAATCCACCGCAAAACTGTGCCACATGAGGCCTGCATAAACTGAGCTCATCTGGGTTGGCCCTACATAAAGGCAAAAGGATCCACTTGTGTTATGTTTGCACTGGACAGACTCAGACATGTCCCTTCTTCTAACACACTAGGACATGTGCTCCAGTAGAGAGCAATTCAATTCCTCTGAGAATGGCAGAGTGAATCAATGGTCAAGAAAAATTCTTTTAGAACATGTTTTGGCAATGTTACCTCATTGATATTTATAGGTTCACTTTCACTCTCATGCGTGATTACACTGATGGCCCCCCACTGATGCTCTCAATGTGTTCTCCATTCGAGAAGCTCAGAAACTCATATAGAGGAAATAGAGATGCACTGAAGGTATATTAAAGAGATATGCTTCATTTTTTTTTAAAAAAAGTAAGTCTTATGTTTTCTCAGCCAGCCATATAAACACTATTTCTTTTTTGTCTTTGTAAATGCCCAAGAAAGGGACAGCTGCTACTAACTGTGACTGATATATTTATGCTACTGTTGAAAATACAAACATAAATCCTTAAGTGGCAAAAAGCTTCAGTGACACCGTGTTACACACAACCTTTAAGCTGACTTAGAGTTTTATGGTAAGCTTTACTTTAAAATTTTAACAAACTCTGCATGAAATGGCTCTCCTTGTCTTTAATAATGCATCAAAGCACTGAAGATACATAGATGCTTTAATTATTTATATGAAAGAAAACTAAAAATAAAATTGAAATGTTTGCAACCTGTGTAACTATAATTAATATGTTTAAAGTTATTCATTCATCCACTCATCTATCCACTTCGTAAATAATCCACAGAGTGGGGACGCAGAGGGGAATGAGCCCTAGGACTCAGGGAGATGACAGTCTTGCAGAGGTGACAAATCCTTGAACAAGTAATTCAAAGTGTGATGTGTGTCTCAAAAGGCAAAAGGTTTTTCCCATGCTTAAGGTAAGAGGGGCCAAAGGAGAACAAAGGAGGTGGCCCACAAGGGCAGTGAACAGGGAAGATGTTCCAGGACATAGACAGCAAGACGGAGATGGTTCCTGAACAGGAGCAGACTCCAGCTGGACAGGGTCCCGCACAAGAGGATCTTATACCTTATCCAGAGGGCAAGAAGCCACCTCAGGGGAGCTGTTGGCAAGGGAAGGCGTTTGATTGTACTTTTCAAACCTTTTATTTTAAAATGAAACACAGTTACAGGAAACAAATTATGATATGATGAATTATTATAAGGCAATCACTCTTGTAGCCACCACCCAGTGCAGCCACGCTGGAAGCCATCCATGTGCCTCTTCCTAATCACAGCCCCTTCCTCCTTCCAAAAGTAACCCCTATCTCAAGTTTTATAGTGTTACAGAAATCGCTTCCTTGCATTTCTGTATGGTTTTTCACAAAATATACATCTGTAGACACTATGTTATGAACCCTAGATTTTAACACACTTGATGGATTCAATTCATTGACGTCCTCATCCTTATTGAATCTCAAATTGTCCACCTTTCGGTTGCTCAGAGTCTCTCAAAAATCCTTTTGACATAACTTCGATAGCTTCCTTGTTATCTGCATGTTGAGATATTCCAGGATCAGGGTTCGGAGCAGGAATGTGGTATGACTTAAAATGTGTCAGTGGAAGATGACTTTGGCAGCTCTGTTGAGTATGCACATATTGAAAGAGACCAATGCTATGTCTGAGGACAGGGAAAAATAAGATTTGAACTAGAGTAGTAAGTATGGGGATGAGAAAGTAAATACAAATACAAGTAACATTGGTATCAAAAAATTGTCTCAATTTTAAAACCAGATGGATGTCGGAGGTGAGGAAGAAGAAAGTATCAATGACTTTCATATTTCCTGCTAAAAAGAAAAATCTTGAAAGAGTGCATTGGGTAAAAGATAGTAGATGTACTCTGAAGACATGCTAAGTTAGTGGGACAGCTGGTATTACTTGTTATTTCTTTTGTACTGCATGCCTTACATGTATTATCCTATTTAATCTTTGAAACAGTTTCACGAGGAGTGACATCATACTAGAGTTATAGATACAGAAATTGAAGCTCAAGCGGTAAAGTGACCTCCCTACGGTGGCAGACTCACCATTCAAGAAGAAATATCAAAAGATTTGTTCTTTGTATATCAACATTGCAAAAAATCTGGCAGACAGTTGGACATGTGAAATTGAAATCAAAGTCAATAATTATCCACAGTGTAGCTTCACCTGAGGTTACCGAGAAAACTGATTTGTTTCCTTCTTTAACATGTTGCAGAGCACTATAAAAACTCAATATGTCTCCACAGTCTTGTAAACTTTTTACAAAGTAGGGGTGATCTCCTGGTGCAGTGATCATTTCTAATGGATGCTAATGAATCAGTCCAATGTTTCAGTAGTATTTTACCAGCATATGATATACTCACAAGTTGGTTCCTAAACTGTATTTTGGGAGTACATCATGATTCAGAATTTTCTTGTATTGACAAGCATCCCACTCTGATTCCACACGGAAACCCATGCCATGCACTTAATATTTAGGGGAGAGGAAATATAATGCAATTTGTGTTTCAAAGCATGATCATCCCCTAAACAGACCTTGTTGCAAAAATAAGTATATTCAAAACATAGCTCATAAACCTCAGATCTGTGGCTAAAACTATCAGTTGATAATATTACATTAACACCACTGCCATTTGTAAAAAGAAGATATCCAGGATTATCTAATATATTTCCTGTGCCAGATCTGGAGTCAGCCATTTCTCTAAGAAGCTTTTCTCTTAACAGGAAAGATTACTTCAATATAAGAATATTCAACATTACAACACTGTCCATTATTTCTAGGTGTTTTCAGTAGACGGAGAAAGCATATAATCATTTCCTTGCATTTATGTATCTGTGAATATAAATATAAATGTCAATATGTAGAATCCAAAATAAATCAAGGAATCAACGACCGATTTAAACTTTTCTCCTGAGCAATTCAAACAGCGGTGTTGCTGTTTGCTGAGATGGAGAAAACTCCAGAAGAAGCAAGATTGTCGGGGAGCAATATGAGTTTAGTTTGTACATGTTACACTTCAGATGCCTGTTAAACCTCCAAGCAGAGGCACCAGGTAGGCAGTTGGATATAAGAAAGAGGAATTCAGCAGAGAAATCAGGACTGGGGATAAATCTAGGAGTCATCAGCCAACAGATGATGGTAAAGCCATGACACTGGGTAGAATCACCTAGATGTCAATTACCTGGCTGTGTAATATTTCATGGAATGTAGTAGAGAACAAAAACCAAAATGAAGTAAGATTTAACAAAAGGCAATACTAAAACATATTATGTGTTTTATTTCTTCTTGGAAGGGTAATAACATACCTGGTAGGCAACTTCTGCTCTCACTGAATCCAGGAAGCCCTGATCAGTTGGATAAAGGGCACAGGCAAACATAAAATCCTGCCATACCTAGCGAATCAAATAAAAGGGAATGTAACACTTCCATAAGTTTTATTACACAGAAGAAAGTCTTCATTCTGAGCTCTGGGCATTACTTTTCACACAAATGAAAAATTCAGTTAGCCTGATGAGTGTGATCATTGGGGCACCATTATGTATAAAGGCACCCAGGAAAGGTATCAAAGACATTAAGACTTCCCAGAACTGCACAAAAGTGTACAGAAACCTGAGAAGAGAGAACCCTAGGCAGGTATAAAAGAAAGGGAAGACAGAAGAATTTGAAAAAGAAAAAATGTGTGAAGGGGACATAGAATGAGGCTTCCCTCCAGCCCCTCCTCACTTCTAATTCATTCCAATTTTCACCAGGTATTTGGTATTAAGAGATGCACCAGACTGTTAAGAATCATACTTCATTTATAAAGGAATTAGCTTTTCATAGACAAAAGGATTACTACATGCACACTTTAGTAATGAAACTACGTAAGTCCCTTCCTAAGGAAGCCGTGTGATGCAATGGTTAAGAACACAGCCCCTGCTGGGAGCAGTGGCTCACACCTATAATCCCAGAACTTTGGGAGGCTGAGGAGGGGAGGATCACCTGAGGTCAGGAGTTTGAGACCAGCCTGGCCAAAATGGTGAAACCCTGTCTCTACTAGAAACACAAAAATTAGCCGGGCATGGTGGCACATATCTATAATCCCAGCTACTTGAGAGGCTGGGGCAGAAGAATTACTTGAACCCTGGAGGTGAAGGCTGCAGTGAACCAAGATCGCACTACTGCATTCCAGCCTAGGCAACAGAGCCAGACTCCATCTCAAAAAAAAAAAAAGTCATAGCCCCAAAGCAGCCTGTATGAGTCAGAATTGGATTCCACCATAAACAGGCTGTTAGAGTTTGGGTAAAATATTTAACCTCTTCATGTGTCAGTTTCTTTATCTGTAAATGAGGATAGAGAATAGTAACTACCTCATTGAATGGGCATGAAGATAAAATACGTAGAGCACTTAGAACAATGTCTGTCCTGGCACTCAGTGAATATTATATAATAATGTCATTGCCACAATGACCATCAGCATTATCAATATTAGTATAATTCCTTGTCTTCTGTGGCATTCCTTATATTTTAGAACACTAATAATAGAACTAACAGAATACACTTTCTTTGCTTTATCCTCACAATTGCAAAACACGTTAAAAGTACTTAATAACAATATTAGGGCCAGGTACAGCGGCTCGTGCCTATAATCTCAGCACTTTGAGAGGCCGAGGCAGGTGGATCACCTGAGGTCAGCAGTTCAAGGCCAGCCTGGCCAACACGGTGAAACCCCATCTCTACTAAAAATACGAAAATCAGCTGGATGCTGATTTACGAAAAATACAAAATTTAGCACACGCCTGTAATCCAAGCTGCTCCGGAGGCTGAGGCAGGAGAATTGCTTGACCCCGGTGTAGGGAAAGGCGCAGTGAGCTGAGATTGCACCACTGCACTCCAGCCTGGGCAATAGAGTGAGACTCTGTCTCAAAACAAATTAAAAATAAAAAATTAGAAAAAATTTAGAAAAACAATATGAAACACACCTTTACTTAATTTCATTATTTTTCTTCTCCTTTAGGTTTTGTCAGATCTCCTTTAAGTGTTTTAAATATTTTCTTTTATTTTCTATGCATATTTTCTTTGTAAATATTACAAAGAAAATTATTTTAAAAGTAGGTATATGTATACTGGGATATAAATAATTTACAGGATATCTATCATTTAAAAATAAATAATTATGGTAGTTGCAATCACCTGTGGCTCTGGGTTTACAAGATGCCATTTATTCCTATAGCCCCAAATGGAATATCTGGCTCTGAGACAGGGGCAATTGCATCATTCAGAACATTGGCAATCAAACTGAGGATAGAGTAACTTATCAATACATAAAATGCTATCAACTTCTCACCATTATTCCTAGTTCATCACAGAGTTCATAGAACTCATCCTGCTCATAAATTCCTCCTCCCCAAACCCGAAGAGTATTCATGTTAGCATCCACAACAGACTGTAAAAGGAGCCGTAACCTGTAGAAGACATTTTATAAACAAATCATAACTTGGAAAAAAAACAGATAAACACATTTCTAATCTCTGTTAGAAAAAAACACTCTAAAATCATGACGGTTTGGTTATAATGTAAATTAAAGAAAGTAATATAAAATTATATACACATTAAATAACCACATAAACAAACAGAAAACCTATGGGTGATATCTTTACCTATTATATTTTACCTATTTATTTTATTATACTCTTTTTAAAATTCAATTTATGTTTTATATTTATTCCTATAAAAAATACAGTTGTAAGCCTTGGAAAGTATGCACTAATTTTATACAAACCCTCCACACTATAAAACAAAATCAAGACTTGAGTATTAGTGCCTAGCACCTGTATTTCCTATTATACAATTCCTCCAGCCCGGTATTTCTTTCTCTAGTAAATTTCCTTTATACTTTTTCCAATTCCTATTCACATTACCCTCAGGAAAATCTAGAAACTTACAGGCAGCTTGAGAGCATGCACCTTCCCTCCATCCCCACAACACTGTTCAAGCCAAATAACAGGATGGGCAGACCCAGAGCACTGAGGGCTCAGCACAGGCACCACGGCAGGCTCACCAATTGGACCAGCTGGGCTGAAGGACCACAGCCAACCCAGCCCCAGCTGGGAGGGGAGAGGAGCATTTGAAAAGGAAAAGATAGAGCCAATTATCCCGTGGCTCTGTCTGGAGAAGAATTTCATTTTCTTATGAAATCTAAAATAATATACACGTTTTAAAATAAAAGGAAATTACTACAACTTTTGGAAAAAATCAGGTTTTAGTTACTGATCACATTTACATTCTAAATATCAAATGATATACTACAACGCACATTTCTACATTTGTAAATACGCTAAAATGTTATTTAATTTAGATAATAAATAAGTTTAAATGTGTTTATTTTCATTTCATAAAGTTTATTTTCAGCATCACAGAGATATAAGTTTAGGTAAAAGTGGTTCCAAGATGGCCGAATAGGAACAGCTCCAGGCTACAGCTCCCAGCGTGAGCCACACAGAAGACGGGTGATTTCTGCATTTCCAACTGGGGTACCGAGTTCATCTCACTGGGGCGTGTTGGACAGTGGGTGTAGGACAGTGGGTGCAGCCCACCGAATGAGAGCTGAAGGAGGGCGAGGCATCACCTCACCCGGGAAGCAGGAAGCGCAAAGGGTAAGAGAATTCCCTTTCCTAGCCAAGGGAAACCATAACAGACGGCACCTGGAAAATCAGGTCACTCCCACCCTAATACTGCACTTTTCCAAGGGTCTTAGCGAATGGCACACCAGGAGATTATACCCCACGCCTGGCTCAGAGGGTCCCATACCCAGGGGGCCTCCCTCATTGCTAACACAGCAGTCTGAGATCTAACTGCAAGGTGGCAGCAAGGCTGGGGGAGGGGCACTCACCATTGCTGAGGCTTGAGTAGGTAAACAAAGCGGCCGGAAACTCAAACTGGTGGAGCCCACCGCAGTTCAATGAGGCCTGCCTGCCTCTGTAGACTTCACCTCTGGGGACAGGGCATAGCGAAACAAAAGGCAGGAGAAATCTCTGCAGATTTAAATGTCCCTGTCTGACAGCTTTGAAGAGAACAGTGGTTCTCCCAGTAAGGAGTTTGAGATATGAGAACAGACAGACTGCCTCCTCAAGTGCGTCCCTGACCCCCGAGGAGCCTAAAAGGGAGGCACCCACCAGTAGGGGCAGACTGACACCTCACAAAGCCGCATACCCCTCTGAGATGAAGCTTCCAGAGGAACAATCAGGCAGCAACATTTGCTGTTCAGCAGTATTCACTCTTCTGCAGCCTTGGCTGCTGATATCCAGGCAAACAGGGCCTGGAGTGGACCTCAAGCAAACTCCAACAGACCTGCAGCTGAGAGTCCTGACTGTTAGAAGGAAAACTAACAAACAGAAAGGACATCCACACCAAAACCCCATCTGTACGTCATCAAAGACCAAAAGTAGATAAAACCACAAAGATAGGGAAAAAACAGAGCAGAAAAACTGAAAATTCTAAAAATCAGAGCACCTCTCCTCCTCCAAAGGAACGCAGCTCCTTGCCAGGAATGGAACAAAGCTGGACGGAGAATGACTTTGACAAGTCCTGAGAGAAGAAGGCTTTAGACGATCAAACTTCTCCGAGCTAAAGCAGGAAGTTTGAACCCATCACAAAGAAACTAAAAACCTTGAAAAAAGATTAGACGAATGGCTAACTAGAATAACCAATGTAGAGAAATCCCTAAATGACCTGATGGAGCTGAAAACCGTGGCACAAGAACTACATGACAAATGCACAAGCTTCAGTAACCAATCTGATCAACTGGAAGAAAGGGTATCAGTGATGGAAGATCAAATGAATGAAATGAAGTGAGATGAGAAGTTTGGAGAAAAAAGAGTAAAGAGAAAAGAACAAAGTCTCCAAGAAATATGGGACTATGTGAAAAGACCAAATCTACGTCTGATTGTTGTACCTGAAAGTGACAGGGAGAATGGAATCCAGTTGGAAAACACTCTGCAGGGTATTATCCAGGAGAACTTTTTTTTGCCTAGGCCCAACCTAGCAAGGCAGGCCAACATTAAAATTCAGGAAACACAGAGAACGCCACAAAGATACTCCTCCAGAAGAGCAACTCCAAGACACACAATTGTCAGATTCACGAAAGTTGAAATGAAGGAAAAACTGTTAAGGCCAGACAGACAGAAAGCTCGGGTTACCCACAAAGGGAAGCCCATCAGACTAACGGCAGATCTATCAGCAGAAACTCTACAAGCCAGAAGAGAGTGGGGTCCGATATTCAACATTCTTAAAGAAAAGAACTTTCAACCCAGAATTTCATATCCAGCCAAACTAAGCTTCACAAGTGAAGGAGAAATAAAATCCTTTATAGACAAGCAAATACTGAGAGATATTGTCACCACTAGGGCTGCCCTACAAGAGCTCCTGAAGGAAGCACTAAACATGGAAAGGAACAACTGGTACCAGCCACTACAAAAACATGCCAAAATGTAAAGACCATCGAGGCTAGGAAGAAACTGCATCAACTAACAAGCAAAATAACCAGCTAACATCATAATGACAGGATCAAATTCACACATAACAATACTAACCTTAAATGTAAATGGGCTAAATGCTCCAATTAAAAGACACAGACGGGTAAACTGGATAGAGTCAAGACCCATCATAGAGCTGTATCCAGGAGACTCATCTTATGTGCAGAGACACACATAGGCTCAAAATAAACGGATGGAGGAAGATCTACCAAGAAAATGGAAAACAAAAAAGAGCACAGGTTGCAATCCTAGTCTCTGATAAAACAGACTTTTAACCAACAAATACCAAAAGAGACAAAGAAGGCCATTACATAATGGTAAAGGGATCAATTCAACAAGAAGAGCTAACTATCCTAAATATATATGCACCCAATACAGGAGCACCCAGATTCAAAAAGCAAGTCCTTAGAGACTTACAAAGAGACTTAGATTCCCACACATTAATAATGACAGACTTTAACACTCCACTATCAACATTAGACAGATCAACAAGACAGAAAGTT